TGCTGAGGCCGCATCCCACATACAGCAACTAGAAGGATGTGCAGCTATGACATACAACTATCTACTGGGGCTTTGGGGGAAAAATAAATAAATAAATAAAATTATTAAAAAAATGAAAATAAAAATCAGCATCCGTAGATCCATAGATCACCATATCCCACTGTATCCAGTCAACTATATTTATATTTATAACTTTGAGACAAAATGGTAGCATACCATATATTCTGTTCTGTAGCATGTATTTTTCACTTAACACTGTATTCTGAACATTTTTCAATGTTATTAAATAGTCGGAAAACACAATTATTAATATCTTTATAGTATTTTTTCATATGGATATCCCATCATTTAGTTAACCATTCCCCTATGGTTGGATGTTTAAGTTGTTAGATTTTTCCCAAATTTCCACTCTTATAAATAGCACTGCTGTTATTTACATAAATTTTGTTCCTTTCTAAGTTGCTTACCCTGCCTTTCATGAACCACACATTTCCACTCCTGCTTATCCCTTTTTGCCCAGGGATCACAGAGAAAGAAGGGTGAGAACAAATATTTCTCCTTTAGTTTGCATAGTTTCACAAGCTTGGGGCCTGCTTTAGTGGCTGTTAAATAAAGTCACCTCCTTTTTTAAAGCAGAAAGGTTGTAGGCAGACACAGTCTGGTGTTGCATGTAGCAAAGTGGAAATGCTGTCTGAAATCAGCAGGCTGCACTTCCTTTCAGTCCGCAGCTCTAAAGTTCTGGAAATGAGGCACCCGGGGTTCCTGCGCCTCTGTTATTGTACAGGTCTGAACCCGCCCACCATCTGGGGAACTGGTTGCTTGAGCCCTGCTGAGAGCTCCACACTGTGCTTAAATCATTTCCCTGTCTGAACAGCTCCCGGCTGGGGGGCCAGCGTTAACCCTTCCCCCTCAATTCTGACTTTTGCTGTCTAATATGGTCCAAGCAACAAGCTCAGAGTAAATGTTAATCCTCAAGGAAAATTGGAAACTGCCTTCAGGGGGGAAAAAAAACCTAAATTTTATTTTCCTAAACCTTAGCCAGGATTCTGAATCCTCTCTTTTTGCTTTCTGTAATATCAGTAAAGGCCTAACATGTATTTATTTTGACCATATATTAAACCGTTGAAGACCTTTCATCAATGTTCAGTTTTGGATCATGAAATCGGTTGCAGTTCATTTCTCTTGTAATGTGGTGGCTCCCCCCTCTTAGGAATAAACATCACAACCATCGCTCTTCCGCTGGTGCTCCTTGCCCTGCTGGTTGCTGGAATGGGACTCTTTGCAGCCCTTAGAAAGTATGTGACTTTACATTTTTTAATTTCTTCTCTAATTGTGTAAATAATCACAAAACCAACATATTGACTCTTTAGATGTTCATGTGTAGAAAAGCAGCATCACTTCTTCGAAGATAAAATGTTCACTTCGATCTTAAAAACAAGTTGGGAAGAGGTAGAAAGTATCAAGTATTATTTTATAAACAGCACTTATCATTTAGAAACCTTTTCAGTAGGATTTTTTGTCTCAATAGGAGGAAGAAGAAAGGAAATCCTTATGGATCAGCTAAGGCTCAGAAAACAGGTGGGTTGAAAACTCTATCTACAGTTTTATTCTGTCTTTGAGGAGGGGACAGGATCTGCTGATTAAAATCAGGTCTGTGGCCCATACTTGTAGGATTAAACAAATAAGATCTATAGCCTTTAAGTCACCAAATCTACAAGGAAGGAATATATTGTATCCTATCTCTTTATTTTAATTCAGAGTTTTCATGGCCAGTTTACTTTTTTTCAACACCATCCCATCATTTATCAGCATTCAGTTTTGGGGGGTGGGCACTGGAGTTTAGGCCACCACATGGCCTGTCATCCAGGAGAAGGTATAAAAGCCCCATCTGTGAACTGAACATGGTCTAGCTCTCTCAGCATCTTCAGGCTCCACTGTGTTTTCCACTCTGGGAAAGTGGGGGAAGGACTAGGCAGGGCTCACATTCAGGTTCCAAAGAATCTTTAGGACACAGGATGCCCAAGCAACAAGTCAGCTGTGGTCTAGAGGGAGAGCAGTGGGGCAGGACCCCTGAGAACCTCAGGGACCACTTGGGACTCCACCTCCACAGGGTCTAAACAGCCAGCTGTGTTGACTCCTCTGGGTCACAAATGCCGAGTCAGTGCAGATTATGAAAACCATGCCCAGATGGGCTAACACAGGGATAGGCTGGGACCTGATGAGCACACAAATACATTTAACGGCACAGCGGAAAGCATGGCTGGGATAGTGTTTGCTGTTGTTATAACAACCTCAGCATGCTGGTTCCACCACACACACCTGAAGGGCCGTGGCCGTGCATTTATCACGGTCAGCCGGCAAAAGGCAGCCTGACCTCTGTCTCATCGAGGAACACATGATGAGTATGTGCATTCCACTTCTGAGATACTAGTCTGTTTCATGTTATCTTTATTCCAGACTGCTGGAAGCAGATTAAATATCCCTTTGCCAGACATCAGTCAGCTGAGTTTACCATCAGCTACGATAATGAAAAGGAGATGACACAGAAGTTAGATCTCATCACAAGTGACATGGCAGGTAAGTGTGACGCCTCTGTGACAGCGCTATTAGATCGCTGTCTAGATCGGAGGGGCTTGCTTGTGGGGCAGGGGAGACCAGGAGGGTCATAAGACTAAAATCTTTTTGTTTAGATGGGGTCCAATGAATCAGTAATGTGTGAAGTTTTCTTTCTGCACTCTGCACAGTTACAAACTGACACTGAGGTATTTCTCAAAAGCCCCACTCAGCCGAGGCTCTTACACCTGCAGCGGCTATGTGACATCCAGAAAAATGGCACTGAAGTACCACTAAATCTGGAAGCCCTTAATTAATCTACTTTTGTTACCTACGTTTTGATTAAGGCATTAGGAAAGAGGGACTAGAAAGATGAACTAAGCACAGCACCTGCCCTTGAGGAAGAGGAGACAGGAGATGAAGGAACCTGTCCAGTGTTATAATGGCCTCAATGTCCCTGAGAAGCCATTGTTGAGAGCTGAGCTTCCCAAGCTATTTGTGGGGAAGGATCCGTTTTCTGCTTTTGTTTTTTTAAATTTCTAATCCATCAAGGACGAGTACTTTTGTAAAATACAGTATAAATTAGTAATAATCATGAAATTTTAAAAAATTTTAAAAACTTTTTTACAAAGCTTTTTTTTTATTACATTCAATGGACATAAAATTACTCTCTCAAATTGCTGTTTCTAAACACTTGCTCTCAATGTGTGTACTTAATCTCTTTGCAGACCTGTCACAGACAGTTCTCAGATATGTAGGTGTCCATGGACTGCCCTCTGAGTAGCACAGCCCTAGTTTCTCGCTCCTCAAAGTGGGGTCTGAGGACCACCAGCATCAGCATCATTTGAGAGCCTGTTAGATGCAGGCTTTCAGGCCAGGCCCCGGGGCTACCAAACCAGAAGTTCCCGGGTGAGGCGTGTAGATACCAAAGTCTGAGAGGTAGCAGTGTAGAGGTTGCCTGAGCCGTTTCAGGGACAAAGAGAGCATCTCTACAATCCAAATCCATCCCCTGTTCCTTTCCTCTGACAATTCACGTTCTACCTTGGGGGTAACGCAAGAAGAGGGGAGAACCCCTTTTCTGTCCTCTTCTTCCTTTCATTCTCCTTCCTCACTGCATGGTCTTTCTTGGGCTCCTTAAATGTGCGAGGCCGCAGGTTCCCCTCTTGCGCCCACTCATCTGCAGTCTCTCCTCAACAGCCTCCCGCATACCACTCCAGAGCTTCCAGAAGAGCCCTTTCTTGAGTATTTGTCTGCTCTGCTGCTCACACCCACATTGCCCTCCCTGCCCCCAATAAGTCAGTAATCTTCACCTGCTGGATGTCTCTAGCTGCAAGTGTCACCAGTTCCTCAGGGGCTCCAAAACTGAACCCATTGTTCCCAACCCTCCCCACATATGCTCCATGCGTTCTTTTCTAAGCAGCTTCCCCAGTGCGCACCCCAGTCTTCTGGGCTTAACATTTGGGAAGGGCCTTTGGCTCCCCTCTTGCCTCACACCCCACATCACTGGTGTCAGTGCGGTGCACAAACGCGTCTGCTCTTCCCTTTGCAGATTACCAGCAGCCTCTCATGATCGGCACCGAGACAGTCACGAGGAAGGGCTCCACCTTCCGGCCGATGGACACCGAGGCGGACGAGGCGGGGCCGAGCGCCGAGGCGGGCAGCCACTACGACCGCCCCCTGCCGGGCCGCCACGAGTACGCGCTGCCCTTGGCGCACGCCGAGCCCGAGTACGCCACGCCCATCGTGGAGCGGCACCTGGCCCGCGCGCACACCTTCTCGGCGCACGGCGGCTACCGCGTCCCGGGGCCCAGGCCGGCGCACAAACATTCCCTGTCTTCTGGCAGCTTCTCCCCGGCAGGCGGGGCCGGCGCCGCGAGCGCGGGCTACCGGATGCCGCAGAGCCCCGCGCCCCCGGACCCGGGCTACGATGAGCCCAAGGCCGGCGGCTGCGTGACCGCGGAGCGCGCCGAGCCCGACTATCAGAAGCCGCAGCCGCGTCCCGCGACCAGCGACGCTTACTCCGCGCCCCGAGACTGCCTCAGACCCCTCCACCAGACGGCCATGACTGCCCTTCTGTGAACACAATGTGAAAGAAGCCTGCTGTGGTACTGAGCGTCGCGCTGTGTGGCACTGGAAGCGGGGAGATGGGTTCAAGTGTGTGTGCGTGTGTGCGTGCGTGCAATTGAATCGGATCCTGCGGTGGAGTCCCTGAGACCACCTCTCCTACTGTTTACAACGTTGTGCAGCTGGTTTTGTTCTGACCCTTAGGGCAAGAGTCCCTTGGTGTTTTGTTGGGCTAGAAAAATGAAAATTTTCAGATGGCCTTTTCATTTCTCTAACTGTGATATTGAGCTGCTTTGGTGTAAAATGTGCAATCTGTACAGAGTTGTATTTAACAAGAATTAAAGTAACTTAAGTTTGCTTTATCAGATTTTGGTTCTGCACAGAGGTTAAGTGGGAGAATGCAGCTGTCGCAAAAACGTATATAATAGTGTGCTCACTTTTGAAATATAATTGATCTGATACTGTGTCAGCAGCAGGTCTGTTTAAGCTTAAGCTTGTTGTTCGTGCGGCTCATTTCCTTTCCTTTGATATCTAGAGCTAAAAGCGTTGTTCACGTTCTCCTGGAAGGAATGAAATTACTTGAAGCGTGAAAAGCCCACCAGGGCGGTTGTTAGCAATTATGAGTGTAGATTTAAAAAAAAAAAAAAAAAAAACACCACCTCGGCAGCTGCCTGTCCCTCAGACTCCACTTCAGATGGGGATGTGGGGGCCGTAGGGCACGACAGAGCAGGAGGTCTCTGTGGCCTGCCGGGGCCCTGCTGCCCTGGACTAAGACACCCGTCTCTCTGAGGAACCAGCCTTCCTCACCCTGGCTTCCTCCTCACCTCAGGCCTGGCAGATGCTGCGGGCCTTTCACCTGCAAACCCGCCCTTTCAAACTGTCTGCCAGGCTGAGACTTGAGAGCAGCCAAAACCGCTCTCCCGACAAACTGAATGAAGGTGGCACAGCAATAACAATTTGAATTACTGTATCAGATGCTTTTGTACCTCAGATTACAAATATTGCTGAGGTCAGATGCCCACGCTTTTCATGACTTTCTTCAGAAAGAGCACATTATACTCTGAAACAAAACAGTGATTTGAAGGGTGTTCTTACAAAAGTGACCCAGGCCAAATCTATGTGGAGCTTTTCTGCTGAGGTGGGTGGGAGCTGAAATGATTTTGTAAGAAACGATTTTCCCCTTAAGTATGTGTCTCTAATTCCCGATGAGCCCAGACCTCAGCTGTACCTCATGTTAAGTGATTTTTATCTGAGTTTGCTTTGTCTCTTCACTGGGGGGGGATTTAACCTCTTTTGCCAAAGAGGAAAATGTGTGTGTGTTTTAATAGAAAATGTGGACCAAAAAATCCTTTCCCTAAAAAATGTATTATAATCCTATTTGTATGATTATGACTTTGTGTGAAACGTATAAATGTTAATTAAAATAGTGAGGGTGCTGGAAGGTCACAGAGACTGCTGGTTATTGTGGAGGGTAAACCGTTTACTTTGTGGCGTTTACAGTTTTATATGCCTACTAATTGTAATAAACTATGCCAAATTCCAGTTCCCCTGTCTCTCACTGGGGCCCTGCTTGCTGGGCTGTTGAAGGCATTTGAGGCTCAGGCTTCATAAAAGGGCAAGTGAGACAGAGGAAAGAGCACGGGCTTCGAGTCGGGTGGGTCTTGCTTCCAGACCCTGATCTGCCACACAATAGCTGAGGGATCTTGGGCCACTTATTGTGGAAATAAATGAAGACAAACCAAATGAGAACAAAGGCTCTTGCGAGCTTGCTAGAGTGGGGGAGTCAGCCACTCTCACCTGCATTTCGGCAGAGAGAGAGACTTGAAGGCATCAGAGGAGTGGGAAAGCTTTATCATGGAAAAAAGAACACTTCAGGTGTGTCCTCTTTGGAGGCCATTTGGCCTGGGGAAGCTGCAGGACCAATTAACCAGAAGTGGGGTGGCCTGTATAATTGGTTAGGAGTGCATTTTTGGCTTCCTCTGGTTGGTCAGAAGTTGGAAGTAGGAACAAAAATTAGGGAAGCTGTTAGTTATTAATCAAATGTTAGTGATTTGGGGTCTGTTGTTACAGGCTTTATGGTTTAGATTGCTACCAATTCCTGGATTGTTACCAGAAATAGTGGTCTGGCTTTCTACAAGTCTGACTTAGAGTGGGCTGGCTTTCTGGGCTGCCAACTGTGAATAATGGGTTGGCTTCCTGTGCTTGTTGCTGTGGGTTGTGGGTCAGAGTTCTGTTTTTATTTATGGTCTGGCCACTGTCCATTTGTATACTCAGTCATTATATAACCCCGAGCCTCAGTTTACTCATGTGTAAAAATGATGTTAATGTGCCTTCCTTCAAGGTTTACAGATAAGAATTAATTGGGACATGTATCAAAGTGTTTGTTCTATAATAGGCCTTTTTTCTGCCCTTAGTGGGCTGTGTATAGCATTTTAACATTAAAATGTTAGTCCATAAGAACAGACTTGGGTAGCCCGTAAGAGTCGCCTTTACAGTGGAGCCGTGTTCATCCATCACATCTCTTCCCTGACCTGAACTCATGACCTAATCATGACAGAAAGGGGGAAACAGGGCTTTGTTCTGGAACAGCATTTCCTCGGGATGGCCTCACTGTAGACCAGGCTGGGTGAGTGCATAGGTCTGACACGTGCTACCCACCGCCAAGCCTACACTAGAGGATACGAGCAGAAAAAGACTAGGTCTTTCTTTGTCACTCTTTTGCATATGATAAGGCGAGAAAGATCATTCTGTCTGGTTTCTTCTGTGTTACCAAATCCTATTGGGAGGCAAAGATTGCATTCTGTCACTTATAATTGTGGCTGAAACATCTACTCTGACAAGCGAGACTACACTGACCACAGAGGTGGCTGAAACTTTTGCTCTGGATTTTATTACTATTATGTAAACTTTCACTGAATATTTATAATCAGCCCAGAAAACATCTAGAAAGGATGTCAGAGATTGTTCTGTGTTTATTACACTTGCTTTGGATTCTTAGCGGAAAGTGAAATCACGTTTATATTATGGGTACAACTGTAGCCCCACGAGAGCCTTTCACCAATACATCTGTTCAGCAGTCCAAGTGTCGCCACTGGTTGGCCTCACTATTCTGAAAATGCTTCTCTTGCATTCATTCAGGCACCAGATAGTCGTTAAGGTTCTGAGAGCAGTGTTCACCCTGTACTTGAGTTTCGAGAGAGCATGCCTGACTCCACCAGGGCCTGGGAGCAGTTGAGTCCTGCTAATGGGAAGCTAAGGTTGAATACAGTCCTGCTAGTGGTCCCTGCCCCACACAGCCCATTCAGTCACCCAGCACTCTCCTTGTACCCACATCACCGTGTTCAGCGCCCGCTGCAGATCTGTCTCCCTACTGGTCTCTCTCGCAGCCTCTCCTGTTCTGGGAATAAATTCTCCTAGAGGCTTTAAAGATTGTCACTCTGCCTTTGGTATTCTGCAACCATGTGTTCAGCCGTGAATTCATTTGTATTCCTACTAGGGAATTGTGCTTCTTGAATCTGAGGATTCATCTTGATCAACTATAAAAAATTCTCAGCCATCCTTTTGTTCCAATACAACTTGCCTCTTTGCTGTTTATTCACTCCTGGAATTCTGTTGGATGCTCATTGGACCTTCTCATTCTATCCCTCCATATCTCTTAATCCCTCTTCTTTTCCATCTCTTTATCTTTCTGTGCTGCGTCTGGGTAAACTCGTGAAAGAATATGGCCTGGTGGTTGAGTGCACAGGCTTCAGATTGTCTGGACGCGAAACTGTAATCTCTCGGTGCCTGTTTCCTTGCTTGTTACTCAGGGAAAAACAATACTATCCACTTGCCTATGGCTGTTGTGAAGATTAAATGAAGGTTTTAGAACACTGGCCCGCAGGAAGCACTGTCTAAGATTATATATTATATTCTGGTTTACTAATTCCTTCTTCCACTATCTAATCTGCTGTTTAATTTAGCCATTGAGGTTTTGATTTCAGGTTTTTTTTTTTTAATTTCTAGAAGGTCTATTGATGCTTTTTCTTTCTTT